ATACTGCAAAAAAAAACACAGACATATACCTTAACAGGCAGTCAAAAAACAGAAAAACATGTCAGATACATTTTTTTTTTGTATTTACTAGAGAGCATTGCATTTACTTGGTCATTCTGTACTTTTAGCACTAGTATGTACAATAGGTCTACGCAGTCATTCACAACATATGTCTACCAGAACACTCTAGAAAAACAGTTTAGATAGATTTAATAATCTCAAATATATGTATATTGGTATATATGACAATTGTTTTTTCCTTAAGTATTGGAAACAGAGTCTTTTATCTGTGAGTCTTGCACGGTTTTTTTTTTTTGTATTTACAGTACATTTTTGAAACAGTACTGTATGGCTAAAAGGTGCTAGAGGCCTCAAGTATGCATTTCAGTCAGGTGTAGTAGACAAGGGTGTGTTGTCATATTCACACAAGTAATGGTACACAAAAGTTCAGCACAATAATGACAGCAATTTTGACGCTTACTGTGTTTACAGTAACGTCAAGTGATTATATGTAAATCAAAGAGGTTAGGAGAGATTTTCAGTGGTAAATTGTCACTTTCACAAACTACTCCACTGCATATTTCTCTAGAATCTTAAAATCAGCCTCCTGCTCTTTACTGAAGTTGAAGATTGCCCTGATTCACAATAAAATCGTGGTTCTAGACCAAGCGCATGGGTAAATGGAGGTCTAATTCCATATTTTGAAACTGGGATTTGCCATTAACCACTTACGTGAACACACCCTAATCCTCCTGCATGATGTACATGACAATAGACCTTTAGGGGAAGTTAGCAGGTATTGTGCCAAAGGAAAATGTACATTGTGCTGTAAAGAAAATTTTGCTTTGTAAATGGGACCTGGAATCAAAAGCTTGGCAATGCTCAGCTAAAAAGACATTTTAAAAAAAGAATTTTTAAAGTGTTTTCACCTAAAAATCCCAAATACAGTGTAAGCTACTGATTAGATGTAACGCTAGACAAGCACAAACACAATTTTATCTTCTGTATTATGACCAGTACTGTTGTTATGAACTATCAGTTTGACATAGCATTAATTGGACCAGTGCTTCAGTGTTAGCAATGACCTTAAAATACATGAGGACTGACACTCTACTGGAGAAATATAAACTAATCATTGTCAAATTTTTGTACAGTTGACATTTACTTTCTGCTTGATTAAAAAGAGGGAGGTAAGTTGACTGCACTATAAAAAGTTGCTCAGTTCAGCCACAGTGAAGTATGTATTCTGTGATGGGCAGATTTAACACCTTTGTATTATACTGGAAATTTTGTCATAACATATTCATCAATCTTAAATTCTGGGTAATATTTTTTGTGGGAGGAATTAGCTTTAGTATTGTTTGTATGTTTCATTTTTGTAAAGTTAATTTACTTTTTGATTTGTTGTGAAATTTTGAGATGAAATATTCACATTAATTAGTACTTGAGAGCTTGTAAATTATATGAGATTAATGTAAGTATGCCAAATATAAAATTTGTTTATTACAATTTATGTAAATATTGTTTTTAAGAAAATGTAGCTATAACAATTTACAGCTTTGAATGTAATGTTGAAGCAGAAAATTATAAATGTTCAAACTTTTATGGTTTTTTGAGTGTAGAAAAACTGCATAATGACGCCTAACGCATTTACAAGTTCAATAAACTGCCCTATGTAATACAAATTGACTGATCAACAGATTTCTGTGTTATGAGAGACTTTTTGCTTTAGTTTCTCTTCTTTTATGTGGTGAGATTGGACAGAGGCTACTGCACAGATCTGAGTTGATGTTGCCTCCTTGCATTAAGGATGACTGCCAAAAGACGTCCAAGATGATTGCGTTATGAAAAGCTACAACAGTCCTTTTATTGCCGTTTTTCTTTTCTTTTTTTTTTTAACAGGGTACAGTGGCTTTATATATTTGCAGTTTTGAAAATCAGTTCAGTTAACTGAAAACAAGTCTTTATATGTTAATATAAAAGTTACATTTTCAAACTAGATGGTTCACAGCAGGAAATGTAAAGGTAAAAATTGTGATTTGTTATTGAAAAGCACAGGTGCTAGCTGGTAATAATATTAAAATAGCGGTGTAGCCTGGATTTCCTTCATACAAGAGGTTGACTCTGCATAGGTAAAGACAATTTTCTTTTCTGTAATCAATTTAAAATGTTTGACACTTTGACAAAACACAATATCAAAAAGCTAAACCCCCACAGCTTCCCAGTGTTCTGAAATGGTTTTATTTAGAAATTACAGGTACATAACTACACTTTGCTGAATGTAGCACAAATAGACCCAGCTGCTGCACTACAGGCTACCTAAACGCTTTCTGATGTGTTGTCCACCTTAATTAAACATAACTGAGATCAATACAGTGTCAATGGACCAAGAGTACTGTGTTTTTGAATGACATGCAATTAAACTTAGATGGAGAAATGATTTGTGTTAGTGTTTTCAAGCATGCAAACAGCGAGGCTTTAACGCTATGGGTGGGTTGGTTAGGATAAGGTAGGTTCCAATAAGACATGACCAACTGGACTCTAGAAATCACTTTAAATCACCTTACACAGTCATGTCCAATATTCCTGTGCTGTTATGTATAGCAATTATACCAATCAGGTAATTCCAGCATCCACTGCCAAGTGTTAAACTTGTGGAAGTCTACCTCTGGCCCATGTGGCTCAGACGCTATAGATGAGGTACTGCTACTGTATGTGATAACAGAAGATGCATGACACAGGGGAGTAAGTTCCCTTTTCATTACAAAGCATCTAATTATCCCACCACCACAGCTCAGCTGAGTACTGCTCTATCGCAGCAGTTGTTTTGATGAAACTGCACTGCTTGACCTGGAGACCTTGAACAATTGTGTTTGTGTGTATTCTCACACTGTGTGTGCAGCATGGTGATCGGCCAACCAGAACACTTTGCCTGTCAACACTCATAATTGTTGTTCTTTGACTGTGATTTGACAGCAATTAGCATGTCAGGAATGGATTCCTGGCTAATCTCAGTCTCTTTGCAACAAAGGGCACACACAACAGCAACAGGAGGGTCTCTGCCATTCATTCAGCTGGTAGAAGTGTTGTTGGTTACAGACCTCCACGGGCTTGTCAGTCTCCCCATTATTGAGGGAAGAGATGGATTTTGTTGTAGTAGTAGCAGAACAAAGTCTGTCCTGGTAAAAGGACAGGAGAGAGTTAAGCAGCAAACAGATGTATACTGATCCCAGACTGTGACATTTTGTGGGCACAGATAAGCTTCCTTTCAACAGAGGAAACCACAGCTGGAAGGCACAGTGCTGTAATAGCATGTAAATATTATGAACCTGCAGAGCTCCCTGTAAATTTAAAGTTGTTCAGAACATTTCTAAAAGATACTGCGTTCATTATATACAGCATGAGGTTTTTTTGCTGAACAGTTTAGCCCTATTATACAAGCACTAAACATCCTCTGTTTATAGCATTTATGGGTGATGATATGTAATTATCAGGGGAAATGCAGTGCGAGGTATTAATTTAAAGTTGCCTGGAGCTAATTTTGGAGAACACACAGCTGCAGAGAAACCCAAGGTGCTTGTCTCGCTCTGCAGATCTCTCCAGGGAAAGGAGAAGCTGGAGCAGCTCTGCAGGGACCAAAGAACCTCCATCTCAGAGGCACACTGAAGAGACATTTCAAAGAGAAACTCACAAGAATAGATGTTTTATCTTTCTGCTCCATTCCTGTATCTGCCCTGTTGTGTTCAGCAGCTTATGGGGGATTTTCACCTGACAGCTTCAAATACTCCAGATTGTTTTTAATGGCATGATAAAGTTTAATTTTTTTCACTTGTGCTGTCTTCAGAAGAGGACTATTGCCTCAGCTGAATGGGGAGTTGACTGCTAGTTTCAAATGCTTTGAGTACTGAAGAGGGGCACAAGGCAAAAATCAGGAAAAAACAGGAGTACGTGTGTGTGTGTTGGGGGGATAGTGTATTCTTGTAAGAGACATACTGTATATTCTTGCAGATTTGTGCACAATTCTAATAAAAGTGCAGGGAAGTGTAACACCGGGGTCAACGTTTGTGCTCACAATGTAGAGGAGAAATACTTGACTAACATTTCTGTTACCACACTTTGCATGAAATTTAGTTTGACTGCAGCTTTTTTTTTTTTTCAAATAAGCTGGTGGTGGTAAAATAATAACTTTAAATAAGTCAAACAGGAAAAAAGGAACAGTTCTAAAATCAATGCACATAAAACAAAACATTTTATATTAGATCAAGAATATATACATATACATACAGGTGCATCTCAAATTAGAATATCGTGGAAAAGTCCAATTATTTCAGTAATTCAACTCAAATATAAATTCAGTACACACAGACTGAAGTAGTTTAAGCTGTTGGGTCTTTTAATTGTGATGATTTTGGCTCACATTTAACAAAAACCCACCAATAGCTCTCGCCTCCAGTACTACTGTGAGGAACCTTGGAGTCATCTTTGATCAGGATATGTCCTTTAAATCACACATAAACCAAGTCTCTAGAACTGCCTTCTTTCACCTGCGCAATATTGCAAAAATCAGGAGCATCCTGTCTCAAAGTGATGCTGAAAAACTGGTCCATGCATTTGTTACTTCCAGGCTGGACTACTGTAACTCTTTACTATCAGGATGTCCCAATAATTCCCTAAAAAGCCTCCAGTTAATCCAAAAGGCTGCAGCCAGAGTACTGACAGGAACTAGCAAGAGAGATCATATCTCTCCCATATTAGCTTCTCTCCACTGGCTCCCTGTGAAATTCAGAATAGAATTTAAAATCCTTTTCCTAACATACAAAGCCCTTAATTACAAGGCTCCATCGTATCTTAAAGACCTCATAGAGCTTCATCACAACAAAGCACTTTGCTCTCAGGTTTACTTGTGGTTCCTAGAGTCCACAGAAGCAGAATGGGAGGCAGAGCCTTTAGCTATCAAGCTCCTCTCCTATGG